CGAATTCCGGATCGATATCTGTCTAGGCTAGCCAGGAATTTCATCCCTCCGGGGTCGATTAATTGGTGCCATACTCGTTTGGAAGGAATGAAGTACTAGTCTGTACATCGGCTGGCCATCGCAAATCACTGCATAAGTCACATACGCACTCAATACGCCAGTACGATCCCGTTTACAAGCCGAATGCGTGGCGCATCATTCAAACGGGATCCAATAAAGACATAAACTTTGTCCTCCAATAATATTGATGTAGTGTTGTATAAATAATGACTAAATAAGCAAATAAAGCTAAGCAGTGGATTCGTGATCGAATTTGTTGAGCGGCAGCCCGCGATGCACTTTTGTGTTTGTGAATAGAATTTATCAACGAATGAAAATAACTGGTTTAAGAGGAAATTCCGGCCACAGCCAGTAAATGTGTTGCGACAGCGCAGTCCATTTGATTTATCCAAAAAAANNAAAAAAATTTTACTACTATCGCACATCTATTTAGCAAATTTTGAATAAAAATATTGACGGTACTTTCAAAGTAGCTTAAAAGTGCCGCAACATGACTGAGTTTTTCAATAAAAAGATATTTACGAGGGTAAAACAATGATTTTAAGTAGAATTGCGGGAAACTAAATAGTATAAATCCATGCAGGAAGATATTTATGAGCATCCTGAATCTATAACCATGTGGTATCGAAGATGTTGTGATATTCGAGATAAATAAACAAAATCCATCAGAAAGTTATGTCTCAAATGGGGCCGCTCTTGAAGATTTGTTCATACCGTCTACCCAGACATAGATCTTTTTTGGAGCTTTGATTTCACAGTTAAAGTCTAGTCAGATTTTTTGAATGCACTTTTGATCCTACTTGATCTCCCCATGCCTATTTTTAAATGAAATTAATTAATTTGTCAAGAACTCGATTACAATTTCATTGTTTGTTTGTTTGTTTGTCTGTTTATTTATTGTGCTTATTTAGCTCAATTAACTGGCTGAGTATACACTTTTCTAATCTGGTTGATATGAAGTGTGGCACAGTATTGTTGAAGAACTATTATTGCAGTATTGCATCTTCTGAAAACTCTCAGGGAATCAGGGCTCGGGTAAGGAGTGGGGAAAGAAAGAAAAAGCACTGAGTCACATGAACTTTCAAAAACAGTTCACCACTAAGACTTTTATGCCTCCGGGGTCGCTTAATGTATCAAACTTCAACTCGCCTGGGGGTAAACAACACTGACTTGCGTATCGGCTGACCATCGCAAGTTTCTATATAGGCCACATACATATTCAAGCACCCCTACGATTCTGAATGGAAGTCGAATGCAGGTGCGCATCCCACAGATTGGATTGATTGCAGCCTAAAACTTTATCCTTTGTTCTTTTGTCTGCCATGGGGTTGTCGATAAAAATCCACAAGTCGTAAATCCCATTCACATGTTTCCGGCAATTTAATAGCTTTTCTCCGAAATATCGATCGGAAAATACATCTAATCTCCATTTAGAGCATAAATAGTTTGAACGACGATTTCTAACAATTTCAAAAACTTTCGTCGTTCGTAGGTGTAGTTCGGCACCCCTATCAATCACATGTACCATACCCCTACATGTATATTTCGGAAAGTAAATTGCCTTAGATTGAATGGATAGCTGCCCATGCCCTATCGCTCTTATCAATAGTAAAGGGTTTTGGCTTTATTCAATCCGATTTTGGGATACGCCCCTCATTCGACTTCCTTTCGGAATGGTAGTGGCGTAGTGAGTGCGTATGTGGTCTATACAATGACTTGCGGTGGCTAGCCGATGTACAAGTCAGTGCTTTTACCCTACCAAACGAGTCTGGCACGCGTTAAACGACCCGGGATGGATGGAAGGCTTTGTTGGCCTAGGCGGATATCGATCCGGGATTCGAACCCATGAACATGCGTGTGAGATAGTACGCCCCTTGCCACTGCACTACCTCCGCTTTGAATACGTATGTACCACGCAATAAATTGCGATGGTCAGTCGATGTAAAGTTCAGTTCCTTCATCCTCTGAGACGAATCTGAATCTGGCACCAATAAACCGACCCAGAAGGGCTGGGAAACTTTGTTGGCCTAGGCTGGTATTGATCCGGGATTTGATAATTGGATAGGGCATGTGGTAATGCATCCCTTGCAGCTACCGCACATCCGTCCATCACAACTATGTAATTCTTCTTCCAAGGCTGTGATAATTGCAATGGCGGGTCGGAGGCCAAATTGTTAGGAATAGGGAATACCTAACATCCGACAATTCGGTCTCCTATTCTACAGGTATGCTAGTTTTCTCTGGAAGTGACGTTATCCCTAGCGTCTTACGGAATCAAATGGGAAGCTCTCCAACTATCATACAGCTCTTAGTACCTATCTGACCTGTCTGTAGTGCACTTCTAGTTCGAATCATTTTTTTTCTACGCACCTGACCGGAGACTTTCTACCTTTTGTTCTGAATCATGCTTTATTTTATTTTATTGCAGGTTGTTGAATTACTGTGAGCGTAGAATTGTAGTTAGCGCACCGAAGCATGCATCGAATAAATAAATAAATAAGTAATTCTATATGGTTTTCGTTCGGTGGTTCTCTGGAAGAGTAAGTAAGAAAGAATATTGATTAGAATTCGGTGTTACTAACAGGGACTTCTTGGATGTCTTCAGCACGAGTTGAGAAGGGAAAAGTCGTTTTTTTCTCTTCAGTGGAAGTTCCGGCAATTGGAGCGGCGGATGATGGGGAAGTAGGAGGGGAGCAGGCGTGGCGCTGGGTGGGAAAATTCGCTCATCGCCGAACAACCCCGAAGAACAACTTTCCCTCGAAGTTGTTCGCTATGACGATTCGTTCGTCCGGGAGGAGGTACCTCTGGTGGTATTGCCAACGCCATAACATTGACGCCTGTCGTTATCGCGCTGTCACTTTTTTATCATTTCCAATTCACAATATGACGTTTTATCTGATTGAATGGTGCGCATTTCTGTAACAGTATCCATATTGGAACGTTTTGCCTTTTTTGGACTTAAATTCTGAAATATGGGAGGGCTTCGACAGCGATGAACAGAATTGGATTTCTTTAGCAACGTCCCCTCCCTTTCCTCTTCCCTTTCCTCCCTAATCTACCAGATTTTCTGAAAGTCCCATCTCAAAAAAAAACCACCCTAGCGCGAAATTCCTGTATGGAGTCATAGATGGAATTTTTGAGATTTCATAGGGGCCGTCTTGATGTATCTCGAACAAATTTATCTATCAGGCCCAGCCCTCCGAACATCCGAGTTTCCACTCTAGTAATTCCTACTTTCTCTTTTGAACTCATACATATGGAGCGATCCAACAATTCCCTAATCCTAGCATGAAATCTCGGTCAGCATATGTTTTTATGGACACCCTCCCAAACTTCAGTGGCGTTCCCTTCGAGTATTCGATTTCAATTGTTTCGAATTTCTCGCCTCTCTAGGCCCCATGGGAACTTGAAAAAGCGTCCAATGGTACCCTTCTGGACACTCTATTGATTTGCAGCCAAAAAATGGAAGGGTATCGGCTAACAAGTAATTGAATTACTGGTTCTGGAAGAACTGGAAATGAAATGACACATCAACTCTTCTTGAATATTTTTATTAATCATATATTTTTGTAATATTTACCAATGGCTTATATCAAAGCTTGAAAGTGAATTGGTTCGTTTAATGGAACCCTCCGGAACTAACGCTTTTTCGAGCCCTTAAATTTCAGTTGCTTCAATTTTCTCATCTCTCTTGGACCCTGGAATGGTCCGAGGGATGTAACCAGAGATGCCTCTCTAGCCATTCTATTGATTTACAACTTAACAATAGAAGAAGTCTGTGAGTAGGGGTAAAGTTACATCAAGGGAAGTGGAAATAAGAGAAATATTTGAGAAATCTGGTCCAGTAACAAAAATCGAAAAATTCTGGTCCAACTACTCTCTCGTTTTGGTCTCATCATTATCGTTTGCGTAGGTAATAGTCATCTGCGTTCAAGGCTTTTATCAGAAAAATCCACTCTTTTGCCAGATACAATGGAATATTTCAGTTTATTTTATCGACAATTATATTTTGAATTCAAAATAATTGCGTAATTCAGTTCAATAATTAGAAAACGAGGTGTTAACTCGAAAAATTCTAGATTGTGCCCAAAGAGCGTTTTGTCGTGAAAGGGATCAGGGACTTTTTGTAAATGATGATAAAGTGGCCACATCAATGACATAATCGATTACGATATTCATAAGTAATCGATATTGAAAGCCAGAAAATCGATGATGTTGACAAGACTGATAACTTATTATAGAATGGCAGGAATTTTTCTGACTTCTGAAGCACCCTTCAGTAGAACAAGAAAATGAGCTGCACCATCTGGAGGAGCATTTTAATCATTGAACAGCGACCAGATATGAAAGGAAAAACGAAAATCCAATCAAAAGGACTTGTCAAAGGAGGAAAGAGAAAAGAGACATGGAAATTTTATGGCAATATTTGGGCATTTGTGGCCCTTTCCTATTCTTGAGAAACCTTTTATTCAAAAATTCTAAATCATCTGATTTTTTAATCAAAATCATCTGATTTCAGGATAACAAAAGTCGGGGGAATGTACGAGTGGCGCTTAGTAATTATGAAATGGCCGCTTTCGGAAATGCGCCATGCATTCGATCTCCGTCCGATATTGTTGAGATATTTGAATACCTTCCAATATCTGAATGGCCCTTAACTTTCTTTTGGCACAGCTGGGTAGAGCTACTGACTTGTGAGGAAAGCTGACTGAAATTGAATTTGACTGATTTCAATGAGAAACCTAAGCAGCAATTTTTTGTACTTATCAAATATGTGTTGAAAAACTCTTATGGAAGATGAATGTCTGGCGCATTTTGAAGTCACTGAAATGTGGGGGATTTCCCAAGCATGGCAAATGAATCTGCCTTTTCAAGTATCCTATAAAAAGGCCGTAAAACATTCACTTTGATGAGAAGCATTTGAAAAAAAAAACGAAAAAATGCGAAGAGCAATCGCTGTAAGCCAGTTAATATCAGTTGAAAGTGGAACGAAGTTCGGTACAATGGGTACTGGCAACGGCAAACCGGTAACCCGAGTCAATAGTAAAAAGTGATCACGTAGGCGAACTCGACCTTAGACTGGGAGCTATGACGACGATAACGAATTTACGATATTGAACAAAACGGATGCCAGTTAGATGTGGGTTAGAGGGTGGGTTCGAGAGGAGAGGGGATGAATGAAAGTAATATCAATAGCAGCATTTGAACCTGTTTGCTGTCGTACAAATGAATAGGTAGAACCAGTCTGATGTCTCATGCGTCAACAACGCATAGGGCTCATACAGGAGGCGTCCTTTTCGAAGATTTTCTGGTTTTTCTCAGGCTCACAAGACTAGTCAGAAACAGTTTATTCGCACTGATAGAAATTGAAACGGCTGGATGTGTTGTTCACAGTGCTATCACGGTCCATCCACGGGTTCTTCTCCATATCCCTTCAAATAGGACTCATTATAACGAATACAGGCCGACGCGTGCCCTTGTCCGCCGAAACCAGGTCAGCTTATCGTGTCAGGACCTTACATCCCTCATGCGTTGAAGATGATGGGTCCTGACACGATTGACTGACCTAGCTTCGGCGCGGCCCTGTTGACGGCAGTGTGTGCTGACCTATTTTCATTGTGAACAAGCGGTTTTTCATAGAATTTCTTCAAAGTAGATGTAGACAATAAATCTACTTCTCAGAATATCTTTTGAGATTCCGGAATTCCTAATGCTCCGATTGAATTATGTTTGTTTACTAACAAACACTGCAGAGGATTTCAGTGCTGACGTTATCGAAGCGCTGATATTGATTCGGAGCGTTCGGACGCACCTCCATTGTTGAAATTCCCTGTTCATCAAAAACCGTGCCAATGAAATTTGCTGAAGACTGCACCAAATATGGTATCCAACGTTGTTATTTATTTGTGGCCCATATTTATTCATCTCGCTCATTTTCTCAGCTTCCTGTCATATGTCACCCAGGCTGGCAATATTCGCTCAATTGTACTGGGCAAAAAAGGCTAAAATATCGTCTGGGGGATGCGCTCCGCCCTCGGCCTCCATTCACGATCGTAGCGGCGATTGAATGCGTTACTGGCCCATACAGTGACTTGCGGTAACCATCCGATGTTCACGCAGGTGCTCTTATCCTCTAGGACGAGTCAGAAACCAATTAACCGACCCAGGAGTGATGGAGACTGGCTGGCCTAGACGGATTCGAACCAGCGACCATGCATTTATAATAGTGCGCCTCTTGCACTGCACCATCTCCGCCCAGTATATTGAGTATAAGGGAGGCACTAGGCGAATCATTTCCATTGTCTCCACGTGAGGTTCGGTTACAGCCAAATTTCTGGCTCTTTCTGGGTCCTGGTTAAGGACAATAAAGTAATTTCATATCCATAATACCTGAATCAAGTACCACCGTACCCCATTCCTAGGGAAACGGGTGGGATCCAAAGACTCGATTCTGCGATGATTTGCTCGGGCCCCTCACCATTTCTCGATCACCTTCATCTTCTTTCTGGTCTTCAAAGACCCTCGGCGGCACAGTGAGCGCTAAATGCCGTTCGGGCCTTTAATAACACTCCATAGTTACCACATAAGAGCGTATCCTGTGGTTGTCAAGCAATCCATTCAGAAGGCGTAGCTGGACGCAAAATGGCTGTTGCTGGCTTGTGCTTTGCCGCATTTTACTTGATTGTGAATGCCCGTGTAACCTTAACTGGTAAGGCCGTCATACGATAGTTCCGCTGTTACTCAAACCTTATATCACTCAGCTTGCCTGAGAAGAGATGGGAGGAATTGGTTGGTCGGATTTCGTTGTCTCCGTGGGAGGAGGGATTCTCGCGTTGTTCGGTACGTGAGTTGCAGAACAAACGGCATGATTAACGGCCTGTTTTTGGGTTCAGCCTTCGCGACAATTTCAGGCATGGCATCGTTACTCTACTTAGTGCCTAGGTTTTCTTTCATAAAGCTACTCTCCTTTCCAAATGATTAAATGTATTCCTACTCCTCGGGTGCTCAACCGTGGGCTAGTTTTAGGTGAACTTTTAAAAGTTTGCAAATCTTCGAAATTGTAGATTCTATTGCTTCCATTTTATCCCTCATATCATATCATATTGCTGTTGACTATTACAATCTTTTATCTTATCTAACTGTTTGCTAGGTATATTGTTTACTTGTTTGTTTGTCTATTTTTTGCTCATTTACGATGTGATTTGGTTGCACTTTCGCGGTGCGTACGAGATCTGCTAAAAACAACCTTGGGTGAATTTTCTGATAAAGTTTTTGAAGCGGTAACTTTTATGTTTCATCATTGTAGGCATAATTGTAATTGCTTGGATTTGACTACTTGCCTTCTTTTTGAACAGTTTGACTGTTTGTTTATTGTTTGTTTGCTTGTTGCTCTTTTCCAGTATTACAGCTCTTTTGCAGCATAGAGTCATTCTCTTGCTCAGAAAAAACATGCCTAATCTTTCTTGATACTCATTATTTGCAGAGCTATAAGGAGGTACCTTAAAGCCTCTGTAAAATGACTCCTCAAATGGAGTCGTTTGATACGGCAAGCTCTTCGATTCTAGTAGGTTCTTTATTTTTAAGTGCATTTCAATGCGCAGGTTTTTTGTTCAGTTTTCGAGGCAGACAGTATGATTGGAATGCTTTTTAAGCTGGAAAAGACAAGTAATGGAGAAGTTATCAAGAGCAATAATAAGCCATAGATGAATGGCAGGAAGGAATTGAAAAATTGGAGTAATTGTATGGAGGGAATAAAAAGCTGTGGGTACCGATAGAAGAGGAGGGGACAAGACGTGTTTTGAGCCCAGATAAACTTTTAGTATGTAGCATTTGGATTGCATGGATTACGCAGTCTTTATCTTTGTTATTGGAGTTGTTTATTGTCGGATGTAGGCACATGCTTTTACTCACTGCTTATCCCGGCATTCAATATATGAATGCTTGACTGTAAATAGGGATTGATCGAAATACTGGGTTGATGGAGGAAAGGTGGGGGGGGGGGGGGGNTTTTTTTTTTTTGAAGTAGTAATTTCGGTAGTTTTCTGTTTTTCGAACATCGCTGTGGACCAACATAACATTGTATGATTGAATGTCAATAGTCAGTGTTGTACGCCCGTATGTCAGCATTCTTTACAAAGAGTATGGCAACAAATTGGGCTGCGAGAGCAATCATGAAAAGTAATCCGGGTGTACTGTCAATCATTTTATTCACATCTATTCCAGGAAGTTTTTTCAAAGTTCGATCCGACTACTGTGAACATTGGAATATTGGATGTAGCTAGAGATTTGTGTGCTGAATATTTGGGTGGAGCGTGGAGTTGCATCGATAGTGCGCAGATCGTTTTGAAGAAGTTGAGGTATCGTTCCAATTTTCATAATATGAAGTAAAACAATTTTGATATCTTTCAAGAAAAATCGCTTCTTAAGAATGGCATTCATTACCTTCTAACACATTGACACATTTTACCGCGGGACAAACGCTCTTTCGGATCACATTTTTTCGCAATTTGACGTTCTTTACACAGCTTCGAAGTGCAGTGTTCCTAACTATTATAGCAGTACTTGCTTTTTTTTACGACGTGCTTTCAGTCTTTATACCACTTTAAGGCTTTTAGACTATTGTTGTTCTCAAATCCTGTATTTCAGTGGCGGTCTCACGAATTTAGTGTTCCTCTGTGAGCTTTCTCAAGATGTAGCTACTGTTGCGTGTGAACCAAGATCGGTCCTGCTTCGAATTCAGACCCAGTCTGACAGTTTGCAGTTGATGAGAGAAGTTGCCATATTCATGAATTTAAGCGGTTCGTCTCTCACTTGTATCTGTTTCCCATTATCCGCTACCAAGTGTCTGTTAGCGTTTATAGCTCGCGTTTCGTGATAGTAGTCGCCTGGACGTTTTACTGATCGCCGTTGCCGCGTCATGACGATTGATAGAACGTGCATATACGCTGCACAAACTCTAATTTAGTCCAAGGAACGAGGACGTGCAAACATCGTCTTTTCTGCCGAGTCCCTTTCAGTTGGCACTAGAAATGCAATCTCGGAACTCGAGCAGAATTCTATTTTAAATCTCGAGCCATTTATTGATTTCAATACTGAACATCTAGGAAATTCACTTGATCAACTTACGTTAAAAGTGTTTGCTTGCTCGTTATGAGATATGAGAATGTTTTTTCTAGCTCATAGCTTTGGACCAAATCTCCTTGCCGTATTTCCTGGTGGCCGAATTGAAGAGTTCATTCCAAGTCGAAATCCTGGCAAAGAAGAATATCTTAGTGATAGGTATGGTTGCGTTCCAAATTTTAACATTTTCGTGTTTGTGGGGTCAAATCAAAACTATGTTCAAGGCTTTTTCCACGTATTGCGGAAATGCTGGCCAAGGTACATGCAATCGAAATGCCGCTGCCAAAGTCTCCACAATATGTACCGCTTGTTCAGTCTTTGTTAATCAAATGCCGCAACTACGGAGCACTGCCAATACATTTAGAAAAAGCTGCGATACATGATGATTTAGAGGTTGGTCAGTTTCACTTGAGTGTGATGAATTAGGATTTTTCTCACATTGAATAGTTCCTTTTTGAGTTCCCTGACGTCATTACCATGGATGATCTTGAACACGAATTTGAAGAGATTAAAAAGTTTCTCATTGAACAAGAAAGTCCCTCGGTGTTTTGTCATAACGACCTTGTGGTAAGAGTCTTGAACTTTACGGTTTTTTCAAATGTGGTGAAAAATGCACTGATGTTCAGCCGTCAAATGTTCTGCTGAGAAATGTTGATGCGAATGACCAAGATGAAAGTGCTGAGGTGGATCCAGAACGTTTGGTTTTGATCGATTTTGAATTTGGCCTTTACAATTACCGGTTGGTTATCTCTCGGACTGTTGAACTTTCTTGAACGTTCAGAATTCATAGAAATAGGGTGATTATAATCGACTGGTAAAGTTGCTGGCTGATTGCATTCGGCTCACTGTTCGAGATAATTCTCGCTATCTTTCAGAAGTTGTCAGTATTAGCTTACTTTTAGAAGTTATTGTCAAAGTTTTGAGATTGGTCGTCCCGGTCTAAGACTAATCCGAAAAGAAAACCCATTGGGACCCATTCACGGTTATTCAGTGAAAATATTCCCAGGAGGATAAGCGCCAGTTTTCACTTTCTCAAAAAGTAATGGATGAAGTTGTTTGGCGTCAAACTCAGAGTCATAAGGGCGTACGGAATGCGTATGAGACACAACAATGTCTTGTGGTGGCCAGCCGATGTACAATTCAGTGTTTTTATCCTCCTAAACGAGTCTGGCACCAAGTAACCGACTCAGGAGAGATGGAAAACTTGTTGGCCTGGGCGGATACTAACCGGGGTTCGAACCCAGGACGATGTTTGTGTTGCTGTGTGATATCGCGCCACTCACTACACCACTTCTCCCTAATTGCATATTGTAAAAAAATGAAGAAAGTTGGATAGTGAGAAAGAATGACAATTGTCTACTGTCTGCTGTGTCTAATTGACCGCCACTTGTTTCAACGCAGTCTATCATTGGCATCTCCAAAGTGTGCACGTCAAACAGTATGGGAACAAGATTCATACAGTCTCTATATTTTTTTCAGCGCCCTTGACATCAGCAACAGTCTGGCAGAATGCGGCATGACCTATGGTGTTGATAAACATCCATTCTATGAAGTGGACCTTGATTTGATGGAAGATGAGAAATTGTCGCGCAC